TGTCAAGTCTGGGCACCAACATAGAAATACAATGAGAGAAAAAAATTACGAGGATATAGTGAGCTATTTACCTCATAGCAACCCTCCAGGGGAAATTTCTTTCCTTGGAGGAACAAGTAGAGACCACTTCATGTTGGGAGTTGTTTCCCAGGGCACCCCCACTGTAAAATAATGTCACCTCCACTCATTCTTCTCTTTTCTATCCATGACAGATGATCCAACACTACCAAGTCCCGGCCTCTCAGATGGGGCTATTGCCGGCATCGTGGTTGGCGTCCTGGCTGGCGTAGCTCTGATAGCAGCCCTGATGTACTTCCTGTGTATCAGAAAGACTGGAGGGTATGATGGCCTTCCCTCTTGCTCCGCTTCCTCCAAAGCTAACGACCATGCTTGGGAGAGGGAAGGAGACTTCCCCTCTGTCTCTGGGCCTGGATCTGCTCCTCCTCCTTCCTAAACCTCTGCTTCTCAGCACTGATTCCTGAGGCCTCTTCTTCCCTGGTCTTCAAGCTTCCTGTACCCCACTCTCTTTGGGACATGGGTATTCCCATCCCCCTGTGGTTTAGAGGGGGCAGATCTGACTATGTTCCTTGGTCCTATAGTCAGGGAAACCAAGGTCCAAGAAGGAAGACAAATCAATAAATGAAAAGAGTAGCAGGAGAAAGCGAGTTGTGTGCTCTGTCAACCACAGGAAGAGGAGAAGAGAGGAACAGGACAGGAAGAGAACCTTAAAAATACGTGAAAGCAGCCTGGCCTGTGTGGCTCAGTGGTCGAACATTGACCCATGAACCAGGAGGTCACAGTTCGATTCCCAGTCAGGGCACATGCAAGGGTTGTGGGCTCAATTGCCAGAACAGGGTTTGCAGGAGGCAGCTGATGGATGATTCTCTCATCATTGATGCTTTTATCTCTCCTTCTCCTTTCCTCTCTCTAAAATCAACAGATTTATATATTTTTTAAAGCTGAAACTAAAGGCCTTTTGGGTAATAAATGAAGAATGAAAACAGAATCAACAAAGCCAAAAGGTGTCCAGGTAGAAATAGGCTCAGAAGCAACTGATAAAGACTACCCTTTATCAGTTTGTGCCGTGGCCAGGTGTACCTTCTCAGTCAGGACACAAACCTAAGTTGAGGGTTCTATTCCCTGATGGGGCATCTCTCTCTCTCTCTCTCTCTCTCTCTCCCTCTCCCTCTCCCTCTCCCTCTCCCTCTCCCTCTCCCTCTCCCTCTCCCTCTTGTCTCTCCTCCCTTCCGCTTTCTGAAGTTAATAAATACCAGATGAAGATTTTTTTTAAAGGGATGGGCCTGTGTGAATGTGAGGACAGCAGGAAAGGAGTGCACTCTAGAAGGGACGGTGGGTACACTGAAGAGGAGCCCTAGGAGGAAAGGCAGTACTGACTCTGGTCTAAATGAGCGGACAGTGTCCTTCCTACTTCAGGGAGCAAAGAGCCTGTGCTTGGGAATAGCAGTCACAGTCTCTGATATTTGTTTAGGGCAAGCGACCAGCGCGATCTCACAGAGCACAAACCCTCAGCCTCCAACCACAGTAAGTAAAGCCATCACCAGTGAGAGCTGGTGTGTTCTACCACGTGCCCTGCCCTAGCAGGAAACCTGGTCCCAAGGACTCAATACCTTCTGAAATGTTAGAGGGGATCTCCATTTCCCAACCTTAGGTTGCCATAGGTCCTCACACCCTTCTAGTCACAAAAGATTCCCCTGAGACCCAACCCTGGGAGAGACTCACTCAGCGAGACCTGGCAGGCCTGAGTAAGATGGACATGTTTTCCAAAGCCACTCCTCACCTTACCCCTTCCCCTCCTCCTCTATAACGGATGTGGGCACTCTCCTTTGGTGAGACTGTCTGTGTCTTGTGGTGCTCTGGGTGCTGTGGGTCTCTATGCCCCTCCTTGCCACTGGTGCCTGTTGCTGAGAAACACAACTGGACAAAAACAACGACTTGTGAGCTGGAAAAAACATTCAGAAGTGGACTGAGGCCTCCCTGTCACTAATCTGGCCACACTCACCCCTCAACCCCACCCCCTCCTGCTGGTACTAACACCCTGGGTCTGGACCACAGACTCTGAGAAGAAGCGATTTCCTTAAGTAAACATGGGCCACATCCCACTCCCCTCCCACCACCTTCCACCTCCTTCAGCTAGAAATCACAACAGCTTAGTAACACCAAGGCTGTAAGACCATAAGTCAGCTTTGCATTTTCATGGATTGCTAACTCTTTCAACTCCCAGGTCAGGGCCACTCTGACAGCTCACCTAATAAGCTAAGTGCAGCCAGTTTCACTGGCTCATTTTCTCATGGATATACCTCTATAGAGAATGAGTTACTCTTGAAAACACAAATGAGATCACGTTTGAGTCACGGTTCCTCAATGCAGCAACAAACCAAGATGTATTGCTTAACTACTCCCATGGGTCTACCCCATGTAAGAATGTGGGCTCTGGAGTTAGCCCCATCCTGAGTTTGAATCCTGGCAGTGATTCTTAGTTCCTCTGTGACCTTGGGCACATAACTTGATCTCTCTGATCCTCAGGAAATGCTGCCTACTTCAGAGAGAAGCTGAAGGAATGAAATGATCCTGTTCTTCCTGTCAAAGGATAATGTCCATTCCAATGGGTCTGAGGTCTTAGTTCCTTCACTTTATAATAACGTTACTGAGCTTCTCTCATTTAGTCTTTCAATAGAGCACACATATGTATTGAAAAGTGCTTAAAACATATATATATATAGTAATATGCAAATTAGCCAGACGCCGTAACAGTCGCAACCTGCTCAGGAGGAGGCTGTACGCCCAGATGGCGGGCCCAGAGTGGAGACACAACACACAGCGCACCAACAGTCCAGCCCCTGTGCATAAATTGCAGAGGAAACACCTTTTTTTACTGCTCATTGGCTAAGCTCCCTGTACACCACTTGCAGTATTCTTGGTAACATGGGTAATAAGAATCCAAGAAGGTGATCTAGGGCTTTTCCACCTCATTCCTGGAGGAAAAAACGAAGGTCTGCTGCTGGAGGGGCTGAGAAATGTCATATCCTGCCCTAGCCAGTTTGGCTCAGTGGATAGAGCCTCAGCCTATGGACCGCAGGGTCCAGGTTAGATTCTGATCAAGGGCATGTACCTAGTTTGCAGGCTCCTTCCTGGCCGGGGCCAAGGTCAGGGCTCATGCAGGAGGCAACCAATTGAAGGGTCCCTCTCACATTGATATTTCTCTCTGTCTTTCCCTCTCTCTTCCACCCTCTCTAAAAATCAATGGAAAAATATCCTCAGGTGAGATAAAATAAAATAAAAAGAAATAAAGAAATGTCATATCCTATGAAAGAGACATCTTGAAAATGCCTAAAGAAAGTTGTCATTTTTTCGTGGTGAAGAGACTGGAGTCCATGTTGATGAAAACACCTTGGTGGCTGTGGCGGCTGGCAGTGGCAGCAACAGCAGGGTGATGGGGGTGGCGTCTTCCCCTGATCAGCCAGTTGCATCCTGCAATCAGTAGGACATTCCCTGAGGGCTCCAGGTCTGTGAGAGGGGGCAGGCTGGGCTGAGGGACCACTCCCCCCAGTGCACAAATTTAGTGCACTGGGCCTCTAGTATGTTAATTATGTATAAATTATCATGAATTGAGCATACCCTTGTAAGCAGCACTGAAATGAAGAAACAAAACACGTTATCTCCCTCCAAAACGAAACTCTCCAGTCACTTCCCTCCAAAGAGTAACCATATCATCCTGACTTCCAATGCACTAGATTATTTTTGCCTGTTTATGCTCTTACATTAAAAAGCACAGTATATCCTTATATGTGTGTTGTTTCTTTCGTTCAAAATGGTCTCATGAGACTTATCCATATTGTGGTATGTATGTGTGGTTGTTCATTCTCATTGCTGTATCCTCCTCTTCCATGGTATGAATACATAATCTATCTCTTCTAATGGTCACTGAAAGGATGTCGGCAAGCAGAGATAATGGGTAATAAAAGTCCTTCAACAAAGCTAGAAGTTTAAAAGTGGTGAGAGCAGGTGCTGCCTAATCACAGGAGGCCAGGTAAGGGCTTGACCTGTGATACTGATTTAATTGACCACTTCTCATCCCTTTCAGATCCATGAAGTTACATATTCTTTGCTGAACTTCAGTGGCCAAGAATCAAAGAAACCAACGTCAGCCTCCCCATCCCCAACAGCCACAGAACCAGTTTATGCGGAAATAAAAAAGAAGTAATGCAACCAGCCCTGCTCAGCACACTGCTGCCTGATTCCAAGTCTCATCCCATCACTAGGAGACCCCGTTGCCCTCAGGGAAAAGGAGAGGATGCGACCACACCCTGGAAGAGCACACCTGGAAAGCCTCTTTCTCCCCCTCACTCTGTCATGAGGCAGCTCCAGGCTCCTGGTCACAGCCCCTCCCTTTGGTGTCAGCAGGTGAAAGGGAGTCTGTAGGAAGCCCAGTCTTCCTTTTCATTAAAATTTGTCTCATTAAATTAGTACTAAAACCAAGAAAGTCTAGAGATGGCTCTTTAAAAAGCAAACTTCTGACTGAATTATTAAGAAGAAATGAGAGTGATCACAATAAGCAATATTAGGAGTAAAAAAGGAAACAATGACAGCAGGCAATAGGAGGACATCAGGAGCATCCCTATTGCAAATATTTGAAAGATTAGATTAAAAGGAATAAATACTTAGAAAAATAAAATGAAAAAAACAGAACTGAGTCAAAAAGAAAGAAAAGTATGAGTAGCTCTATTAACCAATAAAGAAACTGATTTGGTAATCCTTCCAAAAAAGGATACATATAATCTAGATTATTTGATGGTGTTTTCCAAACATTCAGAGAACAATTAATACTAATCTTATAAGTGCTCTTACAGAAAATAGAAGAGAGAGAACACTTCCCCAGCTGTTTTTGTGTGGCTAGTATAATCTTGACCATGGAATCAGAAGAAAGTTGAGACAGAAACCACGATGGCAGCATAGGTTAACGAGGGAGTTTGCTGCCTCGAACAACCACTTCAAAAATACAACTAAAAGACGGAATTGACATCATCCAGAACCACAGGAAGGCTAGCTGAGTGGAAGTTCTACAACTAGGAGGAACCGAGAATCAGAGGAGGCGCAGTGCTGAAGTAAAATACTAAGGTGCGGAGTGTGCGGCGCGGGCTGGTGGCTGAGGGTGCGGTTGTCTGTTTCAATCCGGAGGGAGCCTCAGACTCTGAGCTCCAGATCCGGGCAAGTCTCTAGGGACCCAGACTCATACGGGAGAAGCGGGACTGTCTGGCTTCGGTCCCTCTGAGGTTTGCAGCGGTTGCTGAGACAGAGAGGCAGAGCCCCTGGGGACAGACTGAGAGCAGCCATAACTGCTCCCTCCTCCACCCTGTTGATCCCGTGGGACCCGCCCCGCCCAAGCCCTGCACAGAGCCATTTGCCAGATAGCCTCAGGCAAAGGCTAGATTAGCACCTCCCTAGAGGACAGAAGTTCTCCCACTGCAGACACAGCTGATTCTCACAGCCAGTTGGCCTGGAGGTCAAGTAGTAATTACCTACAACAATCAAGGCTTGACTACAAGACTGCTCACAGAGACCACAAGGGGGTGCACCAAGAGTGTCTACCTCAGGTAATTGGGACACTTAACACGGAAAGCCACTCTATCGACACAGCGAAGCATAACAAAATGCCGAGACAAAGAAACAGGTCACAAAGGACAGAACCGGAGGAAGGCAGGCTACTGGATATAGAATTCAAAACCACACTTTTGAGGTCTCTCAAGAGGCTTTAAGAGTCTGTCGATAAACTTGATGAGATGTACAGGAAATCTAATGAGACCCTCGATGGTGTGATAAAGGACCAACTAGAAAGTAAGCATACACTGACTGAAATAAAGAATATTATACAGACTCCCAATAGCAGACCAGAGGAGCGCAAGAATCAAGTCAAAGATTTGAAATGCGAAGAAGCAAAAAACACCCAACCGGAAAAGCAAAATGAAAAAAGAATCCGAAAATATGAAGATAGTGTAAGGAGCCTCTGGGACAGCTACAAGCGTACCAACATCAGAATTATAGGGGTGCCAGAAGATGAGAGAGAGCAAGATATTGAAAACCTATTTGAAGAAATAATGACAGAAAACTTCCCCTACTTGGTGAAAGAAATAGACTTACAAGTCCAGGAAGTGCAGAGAACCCCAAACAAAAGGAATCCAAAGAGGACCACACCAAGACACATCATAATTAAAATGCCAAGAGCAAAAGACAAAGAGAGAATCTTAAAAGCAGCAAGAGAAAGAAACTCAGTTACCTACAACGGAATGCCCATACGACTGTCAGCTGATTTCTCAACAGAAACTTTGCAGGCCAGAAGGGAGTGGCAAGAAATATTCAAAGTGATGAATACCAAGAATCTACAACCAAGATTACTTTATCCAGCAAAGCTATCATTCAGAATTGAAGGTCAGATAAAGAGCTTCACAGGTAAGGAAAAGCTAAAGGAGTTCATCACCACCAAACCAGTATTATATGAAATGCTGAAAGGTATCCTTTAAGAAGAGGAAGAAGAAGAAAAAGGTAAAGATACAAATTATGAACAACAAATACACATCTATCAACAAGTGAATCTAAGAATCAAGTGAATAAATAATCTGATGAACAGAATGAACTGGTGATTATAATAGAATCAGGGACATAGAAAGGGAGTGGACTGACTATTCTTGGGGGGGAAAGGAGTGTGGGGGGTGCGGTAAGAGACTGGACAAAAATCATGCACCTATGGATGAGGACAGTGGGTGGGGAGTGAGGGCGGAGGGTGGGGTGGGAACTGGGAGGAGGGGAGTTATGGGGGAAAAAAAGAGGAACAACTGTAACAATCTGAACAATAAAGATTTAATTATTAAAAAAAAAAAAAAAAAAGAAAGTTGCTAGGCACGAGCAGAGCAGAGACAGAGAGGTACAGAGACTCACCAGGGCAGAAAGCTCCAGAAGACTATCAAGGGGCACAATTGAGAAAACAAGAACCTATCCTCCCCTAGCATATCACTGGACATGTGGTTTGGACCTGGGATCTTTCATATCTCTGGTCAGGCAATTTAGACCCCCCTGACCATTTCCTCCCATAACATAACATCTAGGCTTCGGTTGTATTTCAGCTCAAGGCCAGAAAATGTAGAAAAATCAGACAAGTGACACAGTGGCTGCCTAAAGACATTGACTAATGACCTCCTGCCTTGACATCGTCCAATCAGTGGAGAACACGACCCTGAAAGAGCACACCTAGAAAGCTGATGAATATTCCATTAAGACCCTCCCCTGAGACCTCTCCTAAGATTTCCACCTGCACGAAAGAGAGACATGTGCTCAGGATAAAGGACCCAGTGTGCACTCTCCCTCCAAGGAGCATGCCCTTCCCATTCCCTCACAGGCACGTATTCCCCAACCTCTAGGGATCCCATGAGACCTGCAACCAGGGAAGCAATGGGCAGCGGCAGCTTGTCCTCAGCTAACCCTCTAAACTTGTCTCCAAGGACCCTTTTCTCTGACTTCTCAGAGTCAAAACAGCCCAGCCTAGGCTTCTCTGTTTTTTTGTTTTGTTTTGTTTTGTTTTGTTTTAAATTAAATCTTTATTGTTCAGATTACATTTGTTCCTCTTCCCCCCCCCATAACTCCCCTCCTTCCAGTTCCTGCCCCACCCTCCGCCCTCACTCCCCACCCACTGTCCTCATCCATAGGTGCACGATTTTTGTCCAGTCTCTTCCCGCATCTCCCACTCCCCTTTCCCCCCCCAAGAATAGTCAGTCCACTCCCTTTCTATGTCCCTGATTCATTATAGTCACCAGTTCATTCTGTACATCAGATTATTTATTCACTTGATTCTTAGATTCACTTGTTGATAGATGCATGTTTGGTGTTCATAATTTGTATCTTTATCTTTTTCTTCTTCCTCTTCTTAAAGGATACCTTTCAGCATTTCGTATAATACTGGTTTAGTGGTGATGAACTCCTTTAGCTTTTCCTTATCTGTGAAGCTCTTTATCTGACCTTCAATTCTGAATGATAGCTTTGCTGGATAAAGTAATCTTGGTTGTAGGTTCTTGGTATTCATCACTTTGAATATTTCTTGCCATTCCCTTCTGGCCTGCAAAGTTTCTGTTGAGAAATCAGCTGACAGTCGTATGGTTATTCCCTTGTAGGTAACTGAGTTTCTTTCTCTTGCTGCTTTTAAGATTCTCTCTTTGTCTTTTGCTCTTGGCATTTTAATTATGATGTGTCTTGGTGTGGTCCTCTTTGGATTCCTTTTGTTTGGGGTTCTCTGTGCTTCTTGGACCTGTAAGTCCATTTCTTTCACCAGGTGGGGGAAGTTTTCTGTCATTATTTCTTCAAATAGGTTTTCAATATCTTGCTCTCTCTCATCTTCTGGCACCCCTATGATTCTGATGTTTGTACGCTTGAAGCTGTCCCAGAGGCTCCTTACACTATCCTCGTATTTTCGGATTCTTTTTTCATTTTGCTTTTCCGGTTGGGTGTTTTTTGCTTCTTCGAATTTCAAATCTTTGACTTGATTCTTGCGCTCCTCTGGTCTGCTATTGGGTGTCTGTATAATATTCTTTATTTCAGTCAGTGTATGCTTAATTTCTAATTGGTTCTTTATCACAGCATTGAGGGTCTCATTAGATTTCGTGAGGCTCTCATCAAGTTTATTGGCAGCTTCTAGCACATTATTGCAAGCCCTCAAAATTGCGTTTTTTAGCTCTATATCCTCCATTTCTGTCATGTTTTTTTGTCTCCGCATCTTTTATGCTTTCTTGGTGCACCCCCTTGTGGTCTTTGTGCACAGTCTTGTTGTAGTTAAGCCTTGATTGTTGTAGTTAATACTAGAGGGATTTGACCTCCAGGCCGACTGGCTGTGATAATCAGCTCTGTGGAAAACTTCTGTCCTCTGGGGAGGTGCTAATCTAGCCTTTGCCTGAGGCGATCAGGCAAATGGCTCTGTGCAGGGCTTGGGCGGGGCAGGTCCCACGGGCTCAACAGGGCGGGCGGAGGGAGCAGTTATGGCTGCTCTCAGTCCGTCCCCAGGGGCTCTGCCTCTCTGTCCCAGCAACCGCTGCAAACCTCGGAGGGACCGTAGCCAGACAGTCCCGCTTCTCCCGTTTGAGTCTGGGTCCCTAGAGACTCGCCTGGATCTGGAGCTCAGAGTCTGAGACTCACTCCCAACCGAAAATGACAACCTCTCCCTCAGCCACCAGCCCGCTTTGCGCGCGCACCTCATTACCTTTAAATTTTCCACACTGCGCCTCCTCTGAGCCTCGTAATGCTGTTGTCTTTGCTTCTAGTTGAAGAGTCTCTCCTCAGCCAGTCTTCCTGTGGTTCTGGTTGATGTCTGTTCCGTCTTTTAGTTGTATTTTTGAAGTGGTTGTTTGCGGCAGCAGTCTCCGGTGTTTACCTATGCTGCCATCTTCGATCTCCCCCTAGGCTTCTCTGTTGCTTCTTCTATGCCCTTCCTTGTTTCACGGTCCTAAGTAACATTTTTGCTGCCATCATGGGGTACAATACCTTTTGCTCAGTACTGTGTAGTCCTTCCCATTGCATATCCCCATCTCCCATCCCCTTTTCCTTAAATGAATTCCATTTTCTTTAATCACCATCTGAGATGGCTATTTAGCCTGCCTGAGCACCACCCACTTTAATCTTTCAAAACTCAGAA